GGCTACCTGTCGTATAACTTCGTAGTAATGGTATGCTATACGAAAGTTATTACGAGATCTACCAGGGCGGCGCGGCGGGCGGCGCCGGCGCCGGCGGCTGGCGGTCCCGCCGACGACGACGACGAGCCCCTCAGCTACGGCCACGACGAGCTCTAGGTGCGAGGCTGGCCCCGGTGGCGTACGGCGCTGTCCCATCGTCACCGCCATATCCCCCATCCGCTCCACCCAGTTGTTCCCCCCTCCCTCCACTCCACGTCGACGTGGAGGGGTCGCCCTTCCGGCGATGCCCGCCGTTTTGGCACACTGCTGCCACGTAGCACGGGCGTTGTCGAAGTTGTAAAAAGAAGAAGGCAATGCATGACTGAACGAAACCAGAGTAGCGTGTGACGGCGAGGGCAGTGGTGTTAGGGCATGGCAAACTAACGTTGATTGACGCGGCGTCGTGATGAGCGTGAGGACGGAGCGCGGCGCAACATCAGGGCCCCGAGGGCTCTGGGCCGGGCGACGAGATCTGGAGGCCCTCCATGATCTGCCTGACGACGACTTCGCCGACAACGTCTCGCAGCTCGTCTTCGGGGTCGGTCCCTGCGTCCTCGTGTCGCTGCAGAATCTCGCCGACCTTTTCCATGAGGGCGTCGGTTTGCGCCTCTGCGATGGCGTCGGCCTCGTCGTCCTCGCGCTGCGTCAGGTGGGCCGTCGTATCGATCGCCCCTCTTTGCGGTGCTGGCTCATCGTCCTTGTCGTCGTCGTCCTCGTCGTCGTCGTCTTGGTCGGAGAGCGGCGATACAGGTTCGGGTTCGCCGGTTAGGGAACGGAGATAGGTTGCCAAATCCTCGTGCTCGTTTTCGAACGCCGAAGATGCCGGCTGCAGTGTGTGGGTGATGATAGGAGGAATGAAGGGTTGGTCAGCCCGGGCAGAGGTGATACACAGCGGACGCAGGGGGGGAGGTGTACACGCACGGTATCGCCTTCGTTGTTCTTCCACTTTGGATCCGCCTTGAACTCGTCGATGAGGACGCGGGCAGCCTCGACGGTCTCGCAGACAAAGAGGGGCGTGTCGCCGTCCGAGTCGGTCGTGTTTGCCGCATCGCTTGGTGCCGAGGGGTGCGAGAGCAGGAACCGGCTGTTTGACAGTGCGTGAGAGGGGGGAGGGAGAGGTGCCATTCAGCCGTTGGTCGTAAGGAAGCCGCCCCCAGGCGAGGGAGTGTAGGAGTTGGTGGAGACGAGAGAGGGCACCTACAGGATGTCGAGGTGGCCGTACGACGCAGCGGCGTGGAGAGGCGTGTAGGTGAACTCGTCGGCGGCGGTCGGAGAGATGCCTGTAACGATGCAGGGAGGAAGGCATAGCCGGTTTGTCAATATCGCAGGGAACGTCCTGCATCATGATTCCGCCTCTGACCCCGGGCGACCACTCACCGCGCTCATCGACGAGGTACTTGACGCGCTCCAGATCGCCTTCGCCCGCAGCGATCCAGATGTTCTTGCCATCGTCTCCCTGCGCTGCCGCCGCCGTGCTGCTGTTCGTTGTTGATGTGGGTACAGGCATGGTCGCTGCGGGTATATGGATGGTGTGGGGGTCGTGGGAGTGGCAAGGCGAGATGGAAGATTGAGGTTGTGACAGGCGAGGCCGAGCTGGAAAAGCTCGCGGCACCAAACTTCTTGCTTACGTCAGCAAAAGTGGAGCTGCACCCTGGCCCGGCTGGCCTGGCCTAGCCTGTCCTGCCTGACCTGGCCCCGTTTGCCACGGGTCGCGTCGATCCACACCCACGGCACCCTGACCTCGAGACACCATCATCCCAACGCCCCACCTCGCTCACCCTCAAACTGCCCAGGGAGCTGGCAACACTTCAACGCTCACAAGCACAGCCTGTTCAAGCCCGTTCGATCCCCCTGGCGTCACCATGGGCAAGAGAAAGGGTTCCACCAGGAAGCCCACCGGCGCCAAAAAGTCGGCGCCGCTCGGTGAGTCGCTGTAGCGCATGCCCACCATTCACTCTGGGAGCGGCGTTGTGCTGACCCGATCTTCTCGTGCTCTGTCCTTGCATCTGGGTCTGCTTCCTCGCTCCTACCAGACACCGTCTTCACCTGCCTCTTCTGCAACCACGAGAAGGCGGTGCTTTGCAAGATGTGAGCAGATCCTCTCGTCTCTACTGGCGCATCCGCCTCGTTCAGTCCGCAGGCATGGAGCCAGCAGCTGATTGTGTCCTCCACTCTCCTTCTCCTGCTCTTTCTGCGTTGCTCGTCGCGCCCGGCCCACAGCGACGACAAGGCTAGGATCGGCTACCTCAATTGCAAGATCTGTGGCCAGAAGTTTTCGACCGACACCGACCCGCTCACCCAGCCCATCGACATCTACTCGTGCGTATCCAGGTGGTGTGCGGTGGATCGTCCAGTCCGTGCAATGCTGGACAGCCCCTCACGCGATGCGCCGAAGGGATCTTTGCGCTGTATCGGTGCCTTGCAACGGAGCGATGGACGAAGACGGAAGCTGACCTTGGCTCGAGCTGCTGCTCCCCTTTGCTGAACGACAGGCTGTGGATCGACGCGTGCGAGGACGTCGCCGACCAGTGATTCCGACGCCGACGCTCCTCACGACTCCAACGCCACGACACCATACGGTATCTCAAGCGAGCAGGGCTTAGTCCCTTCTTGTCAAGCAAGCGCTCGTCCCTAACCGCCTCTCGCCCACGGACCGCAGCGCAGCATCCAACCTCGCCGCTCGAGCCAGCCCACTCTACTCTAGCCTCCTGTATCACCTCGACCGACTGACCCCGATCGTCTCTGTCTCAACTGTACAACGTAACCTCAGCACTCTGAACCTCGAAGCCGTACCCAACTGCGCTCCACAATGTTCTGGCTCTTGGCGGCCTCCTTCTCCGAAAGCCGACTTGGTGAGGAGCGGCCAGGCGGCTCGGTCCGGAGCCGAAGATGCGTGTTGCTGTCGTCCCGCACGCGGCGGCCGGTTCCGCGTTGCTACCGGTAGATGGTGGGACGTGCGGCTTGGATCCGCTTGGAGGCAGCGTGGTGCGAGCACCGCCTTCGGCTGCTCCCCTAGCCCGAGAGCAGATGCCGTTTCGTTGACCACCCGAACGAATGGCCTTGGCACACCACGAGCCTCTTCCTCGACCGGCGCCGCCGAGGAATGCCTGCTATCACAGATTGGTCTGCAGACCGGTCTGTCCCCTTGCCGCTGACATCCAAGATCATGATTGCGCCTCTACGTACGTAAAGACAGGTGCGAGGGCACCAACGAGCTCGTTCTGGAGGAGCTGCGACGACGATCAAAGGAGCCAGGCCGAGGTAGCGCGGCGCCAAGCATGGTGGGCACTGCCCAGCCCAGCCCAGCGCAGCCAGGCCTCGCCTCGCCTCGCCTCGCCTTGCCCTGCCCCGAACGTGGGGATAAGCGGATCCAGATGGGGACGACGCCGAGCGAGCGCTGCTCTTGCTTGCTTCCCGCCTCATGCCAAGTCGGCGATCTGTCAATCAGCGCAGCATGCCCGACGCTGACCTTCAGAGACAGAGGTACCGGTAGTGGTCTGGACGAGCAAGCTCCGGTGGTACTTACAGCTGATCAGAGGCGTCTGTTCCGGCACGGCGTGCTGATGGCGTGGCCCCGCAAAGCACGCACGAGAGCAGAAGCAAGCAGTCCTGTCAAGAGGGAGTAGATAGGCCGCCAAGGGCGAAAGGTCGACCGATGGCCGTAGGGGTCCGCCGGACCTGCCTACCAGGGCACCGGCAGTTGCCGGAGCAACCCTGTCCCCAAAAGACAACGACCGCGGGCCTGACCGTGGCCGTGGCCGGGGCCAAGCCCTGGCCAGCAGGCAGGGCAAGCGAAAGGCACGCGCTGCAGCCATGCAGCTGGGCGCAGATTTAAGGCGCTGCGAAGAAGAGCCAAAAGCGCTATTTTTACCCGCGGACCCCAATTTGACCGTGTGGTCCAGCAGCAGCAGGCTGGCTGGCCGAGGCGGCACGTTTTGAAGACCAGCACGGGGCGTGCTCGCACAGCAAGGCCCAAAGGCGGGCGGCCTCGATGAAGAGAGACGAGCCAAGGGGAGGAGAGCGGCATGGTGTTGGGTTCGAACGCCCAGCATGGCCAGGCTGGCCAGCAGAGAGAGCAACACCAACGTACGCACCTGTGTACCGCGCTGAACCTCGGCGGTGCAGTCGGCTCCACGCCGAACGCCAAACGGCTAGCCTGCCTGCCTCTAGCCCGGCCTGCCTGGGACAGCAGCCAGGAACCCTGCCTACTGCGGCGGTCATGGACAAAGAGAGAGTCGGAGAGGGGGTGCGTGCGCCTACCTGCTGCTGGTGCTGCCGTTGGCCGGCGTAAAATGCCATGCTGCTGCTGCTGGTGCTGGTGCTGCGTGCTGCATGAAGGGTGCCGTACCAGCTGCTTGCTTGCTGCCTGCCCTCTTTGCTGGTCTGCACCGCCTGCACCGCCCGCTTTTGGAGCTTGCTTGGCTTCCCGAGCGGCGGCGTCGGCGGCGGGGACGTGGCGTTGTTTCCCTTCCTCCCCTGCCTGCCCCCTTCCACCCACACCGCCCGGGTTTCTCGACTGGAAGATCAACCTCCGCCATGCCCTGCTCAACCTCGCTCGCCCTCCGCCACCCGCTGTGCTTGCCCGGGCGTGCTTTGTTGCCCTTCGCCCCCAAAACTCTAGACTTCATCTTGAATGACCGACGTAGCGCCGACCGTATGTAGGTAGCCAGGCCCAACGGGCGGCCGCACGCCCGCCGTGCATAGCGCACCTTGCTTGTTTCCTTGAAGCCAGCCCAGTGCAGGCAGCAGCGGAGGCCCGCACGGCCTTGGCGCCGCACCGCTCCGCGCCCTAGCCTTGCCTAGGCTACCTGCAACCCGCCCCTCCTCGCACTGTCAGCCCTCTCGACGCCGCCGTCGCTGGACGGTAGGGGTAAGGGACGAGAACAAACAAGATGCGGTGCCAGAGTGATACGTCGAACCGGCCACTCCTTCACCTCTCCCTACCAGCCTTGCCCCACTTACCACGGCCGAGCTCCACGCCCGTTCATACATAGACGCCCACCTTCCGATGCGGTGACTTCCAGGCGCTTTGATCCATCCTCTCGCCACGCCCGACGACGGACCGACCCACGAGACCATGTCGACCAGATCGAGCTCGTCAGAGGATCGGCTGCTCCCCTCGGACTCTTCCGTCGACGGCAGCCCTGTCTCGACCCCCTACGACGATGGCAGCGACGACTACTTCGAAGAGGGCTACTCGCTCAAGCCACAGAAGCGCCCTTCGACGCTTCATCAGCGCCTCGTAGATGCTAGAGAGCGCCTTCCCCTCGGCCTCGCGTCTGGCCTCGCCATCCTCGCCGTCTCGACCGCCCTGCACGTCTTCTTTGGCATGTTCTCCACCGTCCACCTCTTTCTCGCCGGCTGCATGGTCCTCGTCGTCAACCTCTTCACCAGCATCGGCTCGTCGGCGTCGAGATGTCGTTCAGAGGGCGCCAAGCCGCTCCTACGAGCGGTGTCGAGCTGCCTGCTGCTCGCCGTCATCTTTCTCGCCTGCACCCACCACTCGCCCTCGCGACAGGCACGTCTCACGCTGCCACCCGTGCAGAGCAATGGCTCCTACTTCATCGCGGCCAACCTCTACAACTCCGAGAGCCTCTTCCCCGCCTTCTCCGATAGCCTCCTGCGGCTCTCGGACATGCTCGGCCACAGCAACGTCTACGTGTCCATCTACGAGTCCAACTCCAAGGACTCGACCAAGGACAAGCTGGCCGAGCTCGCAGGGCTCCTCGAACGCCAGGCGATCCCGCACACCATCAGGTCCGACAACGACGGCATCAAGGTGGCCAAGAACAACCAGATCGGCGCCACGCAGGCTCACATCCAGTACCTTGCCGACGTGAGGAACATCGCCCTCGCGCCCCTCGACAAGGGCCTGCGCAGCGTCGGAGGCCGTCCCTTTTCGCACGTCGTGTGGCTCAATGACGTCTTTTGGAGGCCAGGTGAGATCCGTCGGCCGTGATGGCGGCGCCGGCGCGTCTCGATGCGGTGCCTAGCGCGCGGCGAGCTGACCTCTTCGTCTTTGGCCGTCTTCCCCGGAGCAGAATCGGTCCTGGAGCTCCTCGCAACCAACGGCGGCGAGTTCGACCAAGCCTGCGGCCTCGACTTTATCCCGCTCGGCTTCTATGACACGTGAGTCTCGATCTTCAGCGCGCCCGCCAGCCTTGCCGCGCAAAGGAGACTGATCCTCCCGACCCTCACGATTCGCCTTCCATGTCAATAGATGGGTCACTCGCGATGCCGAAGGGACAAGACTCAAGCCTCTCTGGCCTTACTTTGAGCGTCCTGCGGACATCGACAGCCTTAGAGCGGGCCAGCCGATCCCTGTCCGGAGTTGCTGGAACGGCATGACGGCGTTCAGGGCCGACCTCTTTGTCCCGCAGTCGAATGCCACACAGGCAGGGACAGCGGCGGTAGCGGCGAAGGCGACTCCAGAGCAGCAGCCCAATACCACAACCTCGCCAACGTCACCGCTGCGCTTCCATACCTTTCCCAAGTGCGTGGTGTCCGAATGCTTGCTGGCAAGCTACGACATCCACCTGCGCACCGCACCCACGCCCGCGCGGATATTTGTCAACCCGCGTGCCATAGCCAGTGAGTCGATGATTCGGCCGTGCTGAGCTCAACGACGACGACACGGGCACGCCGCTGACCAACCTTTGTGCCTGCACTCTGTCTACCGCCCCTCGGCAGCCTACGACTGGCCCTCGTCGCTGCTCTACGACTCGATCCTGCGTACTCGGCTGCTGGATCCATGGGTGGTGCTGTGGCAGGACTTTGTCTCGCACCGCCTGTTCGGATGGATGTCCGAGGTGGGGAGGAAGACGGACAAATGCTCAGTCTACCTGGAGGCGGGCTGGACGTCCTCGGATCAGTCCAGCCGCTAAGGCTGGTCGGTCGATGGGCGAGCCACCATCACCGTGGGCCCCGACGCAAGATACCACACACCTGTAGATACGCAATGCAACGTCGGGGCTTCCTCGGAAGGGAGGCGAGGGGAGAGGGGGGGAGGGTGTTGTGCCGACACCCAGTCACGTTTCAGTTTCAACGCCGCAGCATCCATCTCGCATCACAGTTCAATCGCATCCTCAGCCTTTCGCCTCCAGTCATGATTGCAATTCCGTGAAGAGGGACGTCGATTGCAGGCAGAGGCAGAGGAGGAAGACAGGGGGACGGATCTAGTAGTTGTACAGGAAGTAGATGTTCTTGTTGTCGGTCATCTGCGGGAGCGAAGAGAGATTGAGCAGAAGCAGAGGGTCAGTCAGGACGGGAGGGGACAAGGAGCGAAAAAGGTCCGACGGACGGAAAGAAGGGGGTTGTGTGAGAGGGGGTCGGGACGCTCACGTCGAGTTCGCCGTTGATCTTGTTCTTGAGGATGCGCTCTTCCTCGGAGACGCCCATGTCGCGGAGGACCTTGCGGCGGCGCGCGTTGGTCCAGACGAGGTAGGCGAGCCAGGCGAGGCAGAGGCTGGTGTGTAGCGCAGCACACGGCGACATGGACCAGGGGTCAGCCGAAAGGCGCTCGAGGGGGTCGGGGGGAGAGCTGCATGACGCGGTGAGACTCAGGACTCACACAAAGACGAGGGCGAGCATGCTTGCCGTGACGACGAGGCCCGTCCGGTAGAGCGGCGCGTCGTTGCTTCGGAAGACTTGGGGTCCAATCATGTTCTGTCGACCAAAAACGAAAGGGAGACCGGGACGGGGGCAACGGAATCAGCGACCGCCGCCTATCTCTCGATCCGCGAGAGAGGAGGATGCGTGCCGAGGCGGCGCAACTCACGCCGGTGCAGTAGCCGACAAACGTGAGGGTGCTGACGACCGTCTTCTTGGTGCGGCCTGCGATGATTGAGGGCATCAGCGACCACATGAGGAACGTCTGGAGCGCATAGAGGATGCTCATGAGGTACACGCCGTACTTGATCCACTTGTAGCTTGGGTCCGAGGGGAGCAGACCGGCGGTGAGGACGGCGACAAAGGCCGGCAGGACGGTGAAGCACATGAAGAAGAAGCGGAGGCGCGGGAAAAAGTGCAGCACGCCCTGCGGACGCAGACGAGCGAGCGGCGATGCAGGAAGGTTGTGAAGCGGGGGCAGGGATGGCCGGGGTGTCAGAGGCACACACGTCCTGCGCTCGACGACGACGACGACGACGACGACGACGACGGCAAGGCAAGGACTCACGATGCAGAAAAAGATCCACGACACCGACATGGCGTACGACGGCAGCTGGTACAGGATGCTCTCGAGCGGCGTGAACCCAAACGACTTGTACACGATGGTCTGGAAGGTCGTGATGCCTCCGTTGGGGATGCAGCTGACGACCGAGATAAAGAAGATGAAGCTGCAAAGCGGCGGGGGGAGCGGTGGAGCGGGGTTTGGCGGCGAGGATCGTCAGCGATGCCAGACTCTGTCGTAGCAGGCCGACGTGAGGCAAGACGAGGAGGGGAACAGGCGGGACGGCGCGGGACTCACTAGGTCGTCGGGTCGGTGAAGGCGTCGCGCACCTGGTCCCACTTCCACTTCTGCGTGTCGCCGCTGCCCGTAGCGTTGTCAACGATGCGGGCACGGGCGGCCTTCTTTTCCTTTTCGCTCAGCCACCACGCGTTCGAGGGCAGACGGAGGAATGCGCAGGCGAGCAGGCCGACAAAGATGGTGACGCCGCCGAGGAAGAGGTTGATGACGCGCCTGACGTGTTAAGTAGGTAGAGTCGAGCAGAAGCTGGGTCAGTCGCGAAAGGGGGTCGACGGCGTCCTTCGGCTCGACGACAAACGTACCAGCCGCTCAGACCGCCCTGCTCTTCCGAGCGTTTGGCGAGAAAGTAGATGACGACCGTCGTCCATACCGAGAAGCCGGTGTTCTGCAGCCGTCGTCCAGGCGGGGGCAGCCGCGCGAAAGGAGCGTCAGCATCGAGTCGTCAATCAGGCTAGAGATGGGGGAACGACGACGACGGCGACCAACCCACCATGGCGAGGTAGAGGAGCTGCCTCGAGTTCTGCTCCGACTTCTTGTACCAGCTCGACACGATGAGCATGAACCCGGGCGTCACGCCGCCCTCCATGGCGCCGAGCAGGAACCGGACCGCCACTGTGCGTCGAGTGCGTGGAAAGAGCGAGGTAGAGAGGGGATGGGGAACTCCAGGGATGAGGATCGCTGCGCACCTTGCGTCGCGGCGTTAGGCGCGGCCTACTCACTGAGCGAGGAAAAGTTGTTGCAGGCGGCGAGGCACATGACGACGGCGCCCCAGAGGACAATGAGAATCGAGAGGAAGCGAGAGGCATTGACGCGCTGCATCAGGTAGTTGAGGAGCGGCTGGGCGACGAGGTAGCCAAGGTAGCTGTGCGGGCGGGTATAAAGGAGCGCAGGCAAGGAGAAAGACCATCGGTCCCGTCGGCCTTGGGTCAGCCTGAAGGTCGAGCGATGCGAGGGACAAACGGCGGCCGAGCAACGGGAAATGGACGCACAAGATGGTCGTGAGCCAGGCGTACTCGTTGGCGACGAGGTGCGTGTCCTCCCGCAGTCCGAAGATGACGCCGGCGCTGAGCGAGACCTTGTCGGCGTACTGCATGCCGTAGATGGACATCATGATCGGGACCGTGTACCAGTCGATCTTGCGCTGTTCGGCCGTCGGTGGCCACGGTCGAGGCGAGGTGGGGAGGGGCGGGGTTCAGCGACCGTAAATCACTACTTGCGCGTCTGGTGCGACCGGCGAGGGCGGGGACGTGGGCGGGCGAGTGCCGACTTACGAGGAGACGCTTGTCCTCTTCGGGAGTGAGGAGCTCTTCATCGTGGAGCACCTCCTGGACCTTTTCGATCTGGGACGAAGGCTGGGCATCGAGCTCGGCGAGGCCGACCGAGGCGATGTGCTTTTCGTTGTCGAACGGCTGCTTGCTCTGGTTGTCCGAGGACGAGCGAGACTTGGAGGTGTCGTCGACCTGGCCCGTCATGGCTGTGTAGTCAACGGTCGGTGCCGGAGGCAAGGAGGAGGCCGGTGTAGGGTGCGGAAATGGAAAGGATGTGCTGGCTCGGCTTTCGTCAGGGAGGGCGTGTCGGGTCGGGGCGGTCGTGGCTGGTGGCGTTCGTGGTCGTCAAAAGGGGTGGGAGAGTGAGGAAGGGGATGGGGGCAAAAGACAGGAGGAACCAGCGGGTGGCGAGGACAGGCTGGTGGCTCTATAAGGAGAGGAGAAGGGCATGTGCTTTTCAAGTACGGTATCTATACATCATCGACGGCGGCACTCGGGTCGCTGTTGGCTGGATAAGCCAGCAGGTACCGGTAACTAGAGATGCCTTGCTCTTCCTTGGAGCCGGGCGCCGATGCCGCATCAGTAGTGGCCACAGGCCTGGCCAGGGCGCTCGACGTTATCGCGAGGCTAGCGCTCTCGCCTACAGTACTCAAGACGCGACAGCCACGCGGGTCGATGGGCCTGAGCGGCACGAGTGCAGGGGGCAGGGTGCGATAGCGGTTGCGGCGGTGGTACGGTAGGCTGGAGTGGGGACGAGGCATGCACTTCCCCGCACTCGTCTGCTGCAAGCGACAGGCCATGCCCAGGCCAAGCAGGGACCGGCAGATGTCAAGGAAGGTTGACCGGTCGGTGGTGACCTCGAGCCGGCTTCGATGCTGCCGTACCTACCGTACCGTGCTCCCTCTGGTGCGGGGGGCGAGATGTCGAGCAAGGCGAGTACTGTACGGTAGTGAGAGGGCTTGTGCGTTGATGGACGGCAAAACCACCCCAGGGACGGGGGATGCAAAGAGGCATGAGGGGCGAGAGGGCGAGGCAGACGAGCAGAGGCGAAGCGATCAAGCGACGAGGATGGCCCAGCTGGTGGAACGGTGAGCGCTGGATGTCAGTGGTCAAAGCCAGGCCAAGTCTACCTCGTGCGCCATGGTAGGGTACCCGAGGGGGCGCCGGCTCGGCTGGCGGACCAGCCAGCAAGGCGACGACGACGACGACGACACGTACGGCGTGGGGCAGGGTACGCTATCCTCGTGTCAGGCTAGGCTGCCTGCGCGGTAGGGTGGCTTTGCGGCCAGGCTTGCTTGCCGTGAACCGGTGGCAAGTGCGGAGGCGGGCCTTTGGGCGGCAACGGCGGCGCCAACGGCGGGGTTTCGCCTGCCACTCGGCGCCTTGAACGGTCAATTTCCCTCGCCCGGGCGCCGTTGAAATTGCCCGAGTGTCGACCAAGACAGGCTGGGTAGAGAGAGACCGGTCCGGGGCACGCCTCCTTTCTACCGCTCTGGCCTGGCAGCCTCGCGCCCTCTCTCTCCTCCTCTGTGGGTGACTACTGTTTCGACAGCCGGCCATCTGCGAGCTCCCTTCCTATCCCATGCCATCCTAGTTACCGCTAGGTAGCCTGCTGCATCGCTCGACGTTTTCATGCCATCACGATACGGCGCACTCCGCCTTCTCACGACGCCTTTGCCGAACGTATGGCATGGCAGCGTGACAACCAGAACCGCCCAGCGGAAACTGACCCGACCCGACCCCACCCCATCCTATCCCGCCCGCCCCTCCTCCTCCTTGCTTGAAGCATTCGTCGGACCTCGCCACCGCTCGTCGTCGCTTCCCATCTTCTCCGAGCCTGACCCTCTGTCTCTCTTCCCATCGCTCCCCTTTGTACTGTACCTGCCCATCTCATCGACGTACACGCGAGGAGACCACATCTGCCTCACTCCTCCACCGCACCTACGGGCACCACCGCCATACCCTTTCTGTCCGGAAAAGGCGGCCTGGTGGATGGTATCTACATAGGTGCAATTTGACGAGTCATGTACATGTACAACAGCACCCATGGACATGACCAACAAAAGCCTCACAATCGTCCATTCATCGCGCCGTATTGACGGGCCAACCACCCCGGCTCGTTCCGCCACACACGTTGCCCGCAGATGACCGGCCTTCCAGCCCGCTTATCGACGGAAACACGAGGAGATTCCTCATATGGTCCGCTCCCGTTCGCCACGAGGCACGCCCTACAGTCCCTAACCCACGGCGCCGCGACGACGATTCCGTCTCCCTGCCTGCTCTGCAAATCTTAGGATGTCAAGCCTGCCCCACGGCTTGTCCGTCGAGAACCTCAATACGTCTCCAACGCGGCTTCCGCTCCACCTCCCAACTTCCGTCGACCCGCATTTCGACCTTGCTCGGGCCTGGCTCGACACGGTGTCGCTCCTGCAGCAGCATGGCTAGTCCCAGCCATCTCTGTCTGCAAAAGGCCAGGGCCCGCGCGAGGCCTCGGCCATTTCCTTTGCATGACCTTCGAGGAGATCCGCCTCGGTCACGGGGCCCAGCGCCTCTCCGACAAACTTCGCCAGCGGGTCGGGCGAATCCGTGCACGTCGCTCGCCAGAAGGCCACCAGGTCCGGCCCAGCGCCCGGCAGGTCGTAGGAGCACGGATGCAGGTCGACCGTGGGCCAGTCGAGCGCCCTGCACCGATGCTTGAAGCAGTCGTCCCACGACCACCTGTGGCAGGGAAGCCGACACGGTGCGCCCCCCTCTTGCTGCGCTGGCGACCGGGACCGAGGTGCAGCTGCAGCCTGGGCCATCGCCGGTGCCGAGGGCGCGGACGCATAGGGCGAGTGTTCGAGCACCTTGGTCCAGTCAAAGTCGGCCCTCCCATAGCCAATCGTCGACGGCTCCTGTGCGAAGCTGACGACCTCGAGAAACTGCCGCTCGCTCAGCACGCCCTCGGAGTCGAGATTGCGGACGACGAGAAGCTGCAGCTCCGGCGGCAAGCTCCAGAACCGCGCCAGGCTCGGCGTCCCGTGGCCGATTTCCGAGGCCGGACGCTGCCTGGCACGGCACCCGAGGACCCTGGCAGCCTTGACGACGTACAGCGCCGCCTTCCGGAAATCGGCCTTGTCGATAGAAGTCACCGTCTCCATAGCCAGCGTGATGGAATCGTAGTCGACCAGGTGGACGCCCGAATCGACGGCGAGGACATAGGCGAACTCCTCGCCCCACGCCGTCGGATCGCCCCCTGCTTCGGCGATGAACGTGAGGGCGGCTGCGTCGTCTCCATCGTCGCTGTGCTGCTCGGCCTCGCAGGAACGCGCATCGCTGACCGCCTCCGCCTGCGTGGCTGTAGATTCGGGATTGGGGAGCGCCACCCCAAGCCCCTTGCCGTACTGACGCCGCAAATAGCGAATGACGTGCCGCCTTCGGTCCGGTGATCCTTGCCTCAGGAAGCCTTGTAGCGTGCCTTTCGGCAGGTCGCGCTTGTTGATCTCGCCGCCCAGTCGCGGGACGCGGACATCCAGGTCGAGCACTGTTAGCCTGCGGTTCGGTCGTCTCTCGGTCCTGGCGACAAGCTGATCCCAGTCGCGCTCGCCCTCGACAGCGGCCAGCGTCTTGAGCTCCGAGAGACTGAGTTCTTCGCGCAGGGCCCACACGCTTCCGACCCAGGCAGCGATGATCAAGCGCAGCGCCTCTTGATCCAGGTCGTTTCGGCCAAATTCGAAGGAGCGGAGGCGCCGGCACTTGGAGTCAACGGAGATGAGGTCTGCAATGGCCCTTGCGGCGGCCAGCATCTCGTCGCCGAGCCGCCATGACTCCGACTTCCATGGCTTTCCGCGGCTTTGGACATCTCTGAGGATGAGGACCTCGAGGCAGCTCGCTTCGTGCTGAAGGGAGCTAAGCAGGCTGGCGAGGGAGCGAGGCTGGATGGGGTTGGTGCTGAGGTTGAGGCTGCGGATCCCCGAGTGAGCGACGGAGCGGCCAAAGGCACCGAAAGCGACCGGATCCGAGCCCAACTCATTGCCGACGAGGCTGAGAGTTTGCAGGGAGTGGGCCTGCTGGATGTAGAGGGAGAGTGGTGCTAGGCAATCGTCGTGCAGCTCATTTGCCTTGAGCGTGAGGCAGCGCAGCTGGCCAAAGTCGGGTTGCGGCCGGTGCGACTTGACCGAGATGGTGGCCAGGTGCTCGACCCTCCTCCATTGGTGCCTCTGTTGGTCCTGACTGGCATCGGCCGAGTCGATGAGCTGCACAGAGGGGCCCGATTGGTTCCAGGTGCCTGGGTACGACGCGATCAGAGAGAGGAGCGCGGCGGTCTTTTGGCTGCCGAGCTCGAGGAACGAGGCGTCAAGCTGCGCCACGGGCTCGTCCTGCCTGCGAAGTTCCTGGACAATCTGCTTGGTCGAAGGGACGTCTTCGCCAAAGTCGAGGCGGGAATAAAGCATGGCAAGGTTGCGTACCGCGCTCAGATGGTCTGGCGCGGCCTGCAGAGGGTCGAGGTCGTCGTCGTCGTCTTCGTAGGGGTCCCAGTCCTCGTAGGGATCATTGCCGTATTCCATTCCGTCGAATCCGTCGTCCTGCTCATCGTCGTGTTCATCGTTGTAGCCGTCGTCGTAGTCGAGCTCGTCGTCGCTTTCCATTTCCGTTGTCGCTCTTACGTATGACGGGTCGGGGTTGCGCCAAGCTCGGCGATCGGTCGAATGGGTGAAGAGCAGCCAAGAGTGAGAGGGGATTCAAGGGCTCAGAAGAGATTTACGAAGTGATGGACGAGGGTCAAGGGCGAGGATGGCGATGATGGTGGTCTTCTCGGAAGGTGGGAGAGGAGGGGGGCGGCGGTTCATCACCCTTTGTGAGGAGCTGCGCCTCCTCCACCTTGGCCGGGCCTGGCCATCCTCGCACGGCCCCTCCCTTTGAGTCGCCCGTTCGGAAGTCGGCCAAAGGCAACGAGGGCGGCCTGGCCACAAAGGTGGAGCGCCGTGCCCGTGTTGATCTGGGTTCCGACCCACCGCCACCCCTTCACCCACCCCCGCCATCCCGTTCAACCCATCAGCATCTCACCTCGTCGTCCTCGCAATCGGCAAGTAGCGACTCATACTCGCGCGAACTTGCTGGGAACTGGAACGCTCTTCCCAACTTCAGTAGCGAAAGGGCAAGAGCAGGCTAGCCACCATGACTTCAGATCCCACAAAGGACCCGGAGTGGGTGACGCTCGTCAGCGAGGTGAGCACCGCCAGCGACAGCCATGGCCAGCCCTGCGCACCATCCTCGCCTTCTGTCGCAATGCATCCGACCTTTTGAGCCACTCTGCCCTCCTACCGCTCTCCGTACGCCCTTTCCTGCGCCAAACAGGACGACTACCGCTTCGTGGTCGAGTACAAGTGTGCGATCGCCAGCGGAACCATCAAGACGATGCTTTCCATGGGTGAAGGCGGTGCGTATCGTTTTTGGCAATACACAGCAAGCGTTCATGCTTCAAATTGCGCCTGTCACCACCTGTATGCTGACCACGTCACTCGTCCCGGGAACCTCTGGAGCCCGCAGGCGGATTCGCAGAGGCAGAGAGCCACACTGCCCGATTGCAGATCCGGTGAGCACCACCGAGCCGAGTCTGCTGTTCGAGGTGGACGATCATCGAGACTGAAACCGCCCATCGCTCCTTTCTGCAACCTCCATGTCCTACTCACTGTGCTCCGCCGTCTCCTTTTTGCCCGCTCGCAAACCACATCCAGCGGCGAGGTGCTCGAAAAGATCGTCGAATACCTTCAGTGGAAGACAAAGTACAGCACCGTCGACAACGACCTCGACGTGCCCAACTTTCAGAACCGTATCCCGCCAGAGATCGCCCTCGAGCTGTGAGTCCTGCCACACTCTAAAGCTCGGACGCGCGCGACTCCAAAGGCGCAGGCTGACCACCTCGACTGTCGTTGTCGTTTGATCCGTGCCTGCTCGCTCCAGATTGATGGCGGCCGACTTCTTGGATGGTGAGTCTGCAACGATAGCGAGGGCGAGGTCTTGGAAAGCGAGCGCGAGCGCACGGCTTGGACTGACCATCAAGCTCAACGTCGGTTGTGGCTGGCTTCCTCCTCGCAGTGTAATGCTTCTGGCGACAAAAAATCGGACTCCCCGCCATATACCTTCTCCATCGCCTCGCATCTGTGTGGTCTGTGGTTGACTGCGTGTAAATCGCGCCGCTCCTAATCGGCCACTCTGCCTGCGCATCTGTTTGATCCGTGGTTGCTGCGTTACTGTCAGTAATGCGGCACCGAGGGGCACCGTAGGTGACTCTTCCTTTGGCGGTGCGGCGACTTCCGGGCTCTCAGACTCTGCCCGCGCCACTGGACAACGCTGGAAGAGCCTCGCTTCTGCCCTCGGGCCTCTGCTATGATGCTCGGGCCGGTCCAGGAGTGGCAAGACGATGCCGGTTGGGAAGCCGTCGGTCCAGGATAGATTTTATGGCGCAATTACACGACCGCAGCGTCCCTGGCAGCAGCAGCGGCAGCGGCAGCAGCGTCGTCACCGGTACCGGCTGTTGTCAAGGGTGCGACTGCGGTCATGCGTGGGCGTTCGAGTTTGTTCATGTCCGTTGCGCGCAGTCAACAAGCTAAGTTGGATGGACGCAGAAGGATGAAACAGTCGGCAAGGATGACAGGGCAGCTGGTCGCATACCTACCTACCTCCGTTCCGTCGGTGTTGAAAGAGATAGCGGCTGCGGTTGCGGTGATGAGCTCGGTGCATCTCGACAACGGTCGATGCGCTTCGATGCCCTGTGTAGGAGAAGGAGCAAGAGCAGGAGGAAAGGCAGGCGGATAGGCAGGCGGCGCTTCTCGTTCTCAGGAAAGAGGGAGACGTTCGTGACACCTCATCAAGCTGGCGAGTTCAGTTGTTAGGTGTCGACGAGGCGTCTGACAACGACTGATGTGTACCATCTGAACCGCAGACTAGTATAGTACGGGCAAGCAGATCAAGGTGACAGGATCGCAACACCAACCACGACGACGACGACGACGACGACCACGGCCATGATCATCTCGGGCCGGTACCAAACGCTGATCGACGCCAACGTTGTGGGAGTTCAAGGCCAGCAGAAGCTTAACTTGTCCTGCTGCTTGGCTGGACGATGGTCGTCACTGCCGTGTTCGCGTTTCTGCCGGGCCGTGATGGCCGTGCGCCGTTGCAAGGTCGAGGAGGTGTACGTCGATCCCAGCCATGCGACCCTGGAGGCCGGCAGAGGGAGCCGTGCGGAAGCCATGGCAGGATCGATGCCCTGCCTGCCTGCCTGCCAGCGTGCACCCAAAATATGCAAGGGGGTCCTTGCGCCCCCCCCATCTGTTCGGCCCATTGTCGAGGATCGACGGGCGTTTGTTTCCGTATGCGTCCTCGTCTGGTTCAAGCAAGGTGTGGCACCTCGCGCCGCTCTTCGCGGCCTGGCCTGGCGGGACGAGTTGCGGGCCGGCTGGCCATCGACGACTACGTCGCCCTGCCTCCCTGTGGATTCCTTCCTTCAGCTGCCTGCACTGAATGATGAGCCTCGTCGCCTCGAGTGTACACGACACACGATCGGACTGCATCTAGCCTGCCACTCAATGATGTACGAATGAAGAGATGTATACGGCGCACCGCTGCGGAACGGCAGGCAGGCGAGCGCAATCAGATGAATGGGCAGTTGGATTGGGATTGCCGGTGCCGGTCCGCAGCTGCTGGCAGGCGAGGGCAGGCAACGTGGCAAGCAAGCAAGCAAGCAGGGCCTGGACCAACCTCGCCTATGAGGAGAGAGGGTGCGCGCTGAAGTGTTGTGCAGCGTGGCATGGTCCAAGAGATCGAGGAGACAGAGAGGACGTAGTCAGGCAGCCGCTGCTGGTGTGTACGTACGACGGGCGGTCCCCACCTCGACGTTTTGGTGCCTGGTCCACGCACGCACCGGACTCGATGCGGTCCGATGCATCTGCGCGAGTCTGACGGACATAGCCGACCGAGGAGCGACGTTCTTGGAGCTTTCTTTTGCCGTCGTGTCCGCGTGTCGTTGCTCGCTCTCCCGATGTCGCATCCCGGGCCGACGCGCGCGCGAACCAACCACCGAAGGCCCCTTCGGCTCTACCCTGTAGCTGATCCCTCTTCGCTCGTCGTCGTGGCGGCATCGTGGAAACAGGCGGCGCAGGCCGTGGAAGGGTCTGGTCGCCGATGTACCCTTACGGCCTCGACTCGATCTGGGCCGTCGCATGTAGGTCCGGCCCAGGTGCTGCCGCTTCATTTCCCGTGCTGCAGATGGGCGCAGCAAAGCAAACCCCAGCGCGCGCGCCCGCGGGGGCCGGACCAGACAGACGCCCTGCTGCGCAGAGGGAGGCGGGAGCTCGAGCACTGCCCCGTGCCTAGAGCTGCGGGAGAAAGCCGGCCAATGAAGGCAGAGCGACAGCCTTGGAAAACAGGCGGGGGGTAAGTGTAGCCCGGATTGCAGCGAGGGCGAGGGCGAGGGCGAGGGCGAGGGCGAGGGACAGGGCGGGTGCATCGACCGCCTCACCTCTTCTCTTGGACGCTGCGTCCTTGGCTCTTTGGATGTTCTCGACCCGCGCGCCCCCCCCCGCCATTTTGGCTCTCGGCGTGCTCATTCGCTCCGGCCAGATCCGCCCGTGTGAGCTCCCGTACAGCACAGTTCCGCACCTGGCTTCGATCCCCCAGCAACTCCGCCCTGCCGCCTAGGCCTGATCTTCGAGCCCCGGCCGCGGCGTGCGTGCGTGCGTGCGTGCGCGTGTTTGCTGATCTCCATGGCCCATGAATCGTGACATCCGAGCAAGGCAGTTGGCAGGCAAGAAGTCAGGCAGGCGGGCAGGCAGGCCGTGCAGGCAAGCAAGCAAAGGCAACCAAGCAAAGGCAAGCGAGATGCAGCGCACTGAAGGAAAACAAAAAACAAGCAGGCGGAACAGAAGCCAGGCCAGCCTGTGGCCCAAAGAGGCTAGGAGGGCGAGGGGCGAGGGGCGAGGCGAATGCTTGGTTCCTCGCCGTCACGCCGGCTGCCCCTCTCGACAGCAGCCTGCCTCTGGCCCCGGCTACGCCTGGTGTCGCTGCTCTTCTGCTCCCTTGGCTCCCTCAACGCCAAGCTACGTGCGTCGTAGCGTGGCAGTCGGCCCTCTGCTGGCCTCGCAACCGTCTCATTATTATTGTCTAGGCCTTCGGTCGACGGCCCCTTGGCAGCATCGTCCTCTGGTACCTACCTGTCTTGCCTCTGGCCTGCCTTGTCTCGACCTGCCTCAGCTTGCCTTGCCTTGCCTTGCCTTGCCTTGCTTCCTCCACCACCGCCCATCTCAGTCGCTCCTCGAGCCGCTCCCTCCCATCATCCGACGCAGACCTTCGCATTGGTTCCGCGCTGCCCTTCTGTCTCGCCCTGCTTCGCCCTCGCCTGCTTCGCTATCTAGTAGCACCTCGATACCCCCGTCACTGCCCCGAGGCCACACGTGCTTCCGCCGCAGCCTTGACGGTACCTGCCTTGCTGCGACGTTGGCACGTCGAGGCTCTAGAGTACCCTCGCGCCTCGTTGCACCGCCACGCACGCTTCGGCGTTCGGCCCGTTCCGCTTCCGACGTCTCTCCGTCGCCCAGGGCTTGTGCCCCGGACCGCCACCCTGCCCCGCCTCGCTCAGTTCCCGGTGACCGGAGATAGTCCGGCACAGGCTCGTGTCAGCTGGCTGCCCTCGTCTTGTCTCCACCGCCGACTGAGCAGAGCCGGCCAGACGAGGCCTTGATTCCTTCGGTCGATCCTCTCAGACCGCCCTCTTAGCCGCCTCTACTCGACTCGACCACCGGCCTCGCCCGACCTCGCTGCTATGCCGTCAAGCGCACTATGAGCGCCCAGCGAAGCTCTGTGGACACAAAGACGTTGCTCAGCTCCTCCTCCTCGTCGGCCACTTTGGCCAAAGACTCCAAGCTCGCTCACGGTTCATCTGCACGCCCATACAGCACTGCCAGCCTACCTTAACCTTGTGAAACCCTCAACGCGACCGACGCCCTCTCCTCACGCCACTCGGCACTTGTCACTCCTGTCGACCTCGACCTCAACGCCACTACTGCTTCACATACCCGGCCGGCCCTGTCGCTGCCCTTCCGCCTTCGATCGACCCTGCTGGTTTCCATCGCCTGTTCGACCAAGTCTGTCGGCCTCTCCTCGTCCCCAAAAGGCGCCTGGCAGGTGCCATCTCGAACAAGCCCATTCTTGAGGCAGGGCTGCGTCTCGCCCTGCAGGACCGCTGCACAATGATAGACCCCCACCACATCGGCCTCGGCCTTGGCCGCAAGAGGGAAAAGGCCAAGCAGGTGCTCGGCCGCAAGGTCAGCGACAGCAGCTCCAAGGCGACCACCAAGCAGCAGCAGAGCACGCCGAGATCGGCCAGCGCCTCCCAGTCCGACGTGCCACCTCTGCCCATCTCGACGTGGGACGCCACCTCTTCGTTCGCCACCGGCAGCACCAGCACGAGCACCCGCACCCGCGCCCACCGCAATCCGGAGCTCGAGTACTTCAAGCAGCAGAATGCACTCAACAACGAGCTGACGCCACGCACCTCGGACTTCTTCAGCAAGCGCAGAACCTCGGTCTCGGGTCCTGCCACCTCCACCGGGGTTTCCACTCCCGGAGCATCGATGGGCACATCGATGCCGTCTTCTGCCCTCAAGCCTGGAACATCACAGAAGGTCCGCTTCCAGGAATCCGAGGACCTTCGGGGCGAGCCGCTGCCCGTCCGGCTCGGTCTCGCGCCACCCAGCCGCTCCTCAGACAAGGCGACGGCAGCGGCGTCCTCACCTTCCGGCGAATACAAGGCCAAGGTGGGCCACGGCTACTACTTCTGTATCCCGCCGCCCTCTGGTGCCGGCAGGAACGACGAATCCTCGAACGGGACGACCGGACAGAGCGTGGCGCGGCATCGCCCAGAGAGGCGGCGCGACACGGGTGCGTCCGAGGGCTCGACCCACTCTTCCTCGAGGTACTCGATCGCATCCGGTACCAATTCTGCCACGACTGGGCCGAGCAGCGTGGCGCCCACGCTCGGCTCGCCTACATTCACGCCAGACAGCCCAATGAGCCTGCTCTCGGATTGGAACGGCAGCGGATTTGACGGTGGCCTGACAGGCAAGGGCCTCTCGCCCTCCACGGCCGAGTTCGGACGGTCGGGCAGCACATCATCTCACCCGCTTTCGGCGTCCCTGGCCCGGGCGTCCGGCCGCGCCTCGTCGACGCACAGCGGCAGCAGGTCGATCTCGGGCGCCGCCCGATCGCCAGAACCCTCGTGCTACGACCCCAGCGACTACTTTGTCACGCGCAAGGCCCACGTCGGCAAGGGCAAGGTGCACGAGTTCAAGCACCATGCCTTTTCGCGGTCAAAGGTGCCTTACTGGTACGGCTACGACACCGAATCGATCGAGGCCGAGCTCGACGTCCATCTCTGCACCTACCACGCCCTCAACGGCTCCCATATCCTGCGCCGGGTGCCGGACGACGCACGGCCCTCGCGCGTCCTCGATCTCGGGTGCGGCGTTGGCATCTGGTGCGTCGACATGGCTCGCGAGTGGCCGCAGACCGAATTTGTCGGGCTCGACGTCTGCCCCATCCAGACGCCCATGGCAACGATGCGCAACCCGGACCTCGAGCAGCGTGTCACCTGGGTCGTTGCCAACTTCCTCGAAAGGCTGCCCTTCCCAGACAACTCGTTCGACTTCGTCCACATGCGCTACCTCGGCGTCTCGATCCCCGAGGACAAGTGGGCCGACATCATCGCCGAGGTGGAGCGTGTCTTGGCCCCGGGCGGAAAGGTCGAGATCCTCGAGAACAATTTCACCTTCTACGGGCGCATCCACATGGTCGATGCCGAGGAGCTCTTCAAGCTGCAGCACGGCCGTCCTGCGGCCGCGGGAGGCGCTAGTGGGGGCGCCGCTAACAAGGCTAAGCTGCCACAGCCCGTAAAGATGTCGACGCCCTTTGGGACCGAGTACGACGTCGACGCCATCCAGGTCGTCGTGGAGCGCACCGTCAGTCGCCGTTTCATCAACCCGAGCCCTCTCAGCGTCATCCCCTCGATGCTGCTCACCGAAGGCCTGACGGACGTCGCCATTGGCAATCCCCGGCACATTCCGCTCCATGCTGAGTCGTCGCGGCAGAGGGCCATGGCGCGGGCGCGCAAGTCGGCCAGCAACTCGACCAGCCCCTCGTCGAGCGACAATGACGAGAAATGGAAGGAGAAGTACACGAGCCGCTCGCAGATCGGCCAGCCGCTCAACTCGACGTTCCACATCCCAGACAGCGACATCTTCCGCGCGCTGGGCTTCCTGCAGATTGCGAGGCGCATCTCGGGCGCCCGGGAGCTGATCTGGTCCGAGGCCGACGAGGAGAAGCAGCAGCTGCTCCGCGTCCAACCCTCGGCCTCGGTCATCTCGCCCACCGAAAGGCTCGAGTGGGACGCGCAGAGGTCCTACAACCAGGGCCATCCAGCCGCGCTGAAGCCGTTTGCACATCCCTGGAAGACCAAGATGGACTTTTACAAGGACCTCGACATGTGGCTCGACGACATGGTCCAGCGCGCCGACATGGAAGGCCTGATTGAAAAGCACCTCGGCTGGAACGCCGGCAGCGAGGAGCTCACGGTGCAGGGGCGGAAGCAGGCCGAGCGGCTCAAGAAGCTCAACGACGCCGCGGCGATGCCCGTCGGACTCTCGGAAGATATCGCAGCCTTGGCCGCCGCAGGCTCCCTCGCCGAGGACCGCAGCGAGCCCGATGCGCAGCTACAGCAAGGCTCCTCTTCCCAGCAGGAGCAGCCAACATCATCCGCGGTCGAGCAAGGGCGGCCGAGTGAAGGCGGCGGCGGCGACGACGACGCCACCTTGGGTCGATCCAGCCCCCTGGGCTTCAGCGTCGCGACCAGCCAGCCCTATCACGAAGCGCCCGGCCGCATGCAGACGACGCGGTCCGGCGGCGGCGCCCGGCATGGTGGCGCAGACGACGAGGACCAGGAGCTGCTGGATGACTTGTCGCCGCACGTGGCCGCACGGTCCGGCGATGCTCGAAGCCGAAAGGAGTCGTCCTCGCGCCCCACGGCCGAGGGCAAGCGGCGCAAGTCGGCGCGGCCCACGTCGAGCGGCGGCGTGGGCATCGCATTTGGCGGTGTGGCCCCACCGCGGCAATTTGGTCGCCCTGGCATGATGGGCGAGGCCAACCTGTACGGCAACCTCTTCATGGCCGGCGGGCAGTCGCGCAGCATTCCCGTCACCGCCCCTGAACTGACCGTGGGTGGGACGCGGACGCCCTCGCAGCGAGCCGCGGCCGAGTTTGCAAAGAAAAAGGGCGGATCGAGCGGAGGCGGTGCATCGGTCCGCTCTGGCTCGTCGGCATCGACGGGCAAGACGGCCAAGACTACCGACGACCGGTCGTTGCACGGGTCCGTCGGCAGCAGCATCAAGAAGTCGCCAGCAGCGGCGGCGGATAGGTCGCCGGACGTCGGTGCGGGCGGCGTATCGGCCTCGTCGATGATCGCCAAGGACACCCGGGCGATGATGACGCTGTCGGAGCCGGCCGCTCTGCTCCTGAACACGGCGGGCGAGATCAAGCTTCCCTCGTCGCCGGATCCCGGCTCTGCAGCAGCGCCGACGGAGCCATCCAAAAAGATCACGGCGGCCAACGTATTCAACATCCCCCCCGCCTCGTCGCCACCGTCCCAGGCTGGCGACCGCCTCGCCGCCGGCTCAACGACGACAAGCGCCGGAGCGAGCCGAGGCGGTACCTCTGCACCCTCGTCGAGCCGCACCTCGCGCAACAGCTCCACCGTCACGCTCGTGGGCGAGGCACCGGTGCCTGCCTTTAGCCCCATCTCCAAGACGACGTCGGGAGGACGGGCCGATGGCGGCGAAAAGGGCGGCGCGAAGACGACGACGGCGGCGGCGGGGGCGGTCACCTCGTCGTCCAAGACTGAAGAAGGAGGCGGAGGAGGAGGAGGAACAACGACGAGCGGCGGCGCCA